CAATGCCACGATAGATGAATATTCATGTGATGTCATCATCAAATGTCATGTGACGTCCCTTAAAGGGGCATTTTGTTCTTCATTGGCCTATATTTACAGACCTTTATGTTCGATTTGGTTATAACTTGACATGTACGTATAATGTGCTGTTATAGATGACATTTTTAGTGACGTCACTGATTGTTCATCACATGCACAGAGTATTTCGAATATCCGAAACAGCTTGTGTTTGTCCACAAACACATCTCTAGTTTTTTTTTTTTTTTCTTCTCCTTTTTCAGACTTTTTCTCCATAGGTTTAACACACGTTTCTTCTGGCAGTCCACTTTGCCACTTTTATAAATCCGATTGATTTCAGACTTGGTACATACTTAGACCACCACCCACAGATGGTCCTAGAAGAAATTTGTGATCGTGACGTCATCAGGTGTCAGGTTACGTTACATTAAAGATGCATTTTTCCCCATATGTTTTGTACACGTTTTAAAACACTCCAGTTTGGCATCTTCGTAAATCCGATCGACTTTAAACTTAATTCATAATTAGACCACCACCCACAGATGGTCCTAGAAGAAATTCGTGATCGTGACGTCATCAAGAGTCAGGTTACGTCACATTAAAGATGCATTTTTCCCCATAGGGTTTGTACATGTTTTAAAACGCTCCACTTTTTGGCACTTTCGTAAATCTGATCGACGTTACACTTGGTACACACTTAGACCATCACCCACAGATGGTCCAAGAGGAAATTCGTGATTGTGACGTCATCAGGTGTCACGTTACTTCACATTAAAGATGCACATTTTCCCCATAGGTTTTGTACACGTTTTAAAACGCTCCACTTTTTGGCACTTTCGTAAATTTGATCGACTTCATACTTGGTACACACTTAGACCACCACCCACAGATGTTCCAAGAAGAAATTTGTGATCGTGGCGTCATCAGGTGTTGGATTACGTCACATTTAAGATGCGTTTTTCCCCATATGTTTTGTACACGTTTTAAAACACTCCACTTTGGCACCTTCGTTAATCCGATTGACCTCATTCTTGATACATACTTAGACCACCACCCACAGATGGTCCTAGAAGAAATTCGTGATCGTGACGTCATCAGGTGTTTGGTTACATCACATTAAAGATGCATTTTTCCCCATAGGGTTTGTACACGTTTTATAACGCTCTACTTTGGCACTTTTGTAAATTATGCGATCGACGTTAGACCTGGTACACACTTAGACTACCACCCACAGATAATCCTAGAAGAAATTCGTGATCGTACCAATGCCGAGATGGGTTATAGATGAAAATTCATGTGATGTCATCATCAAATGTCATGTGACGTCCCTTAAAGGGGCATTTTGTTCTTTATAGGCCTATATTTACAGACCTATACGTTTGATTTGGTTATAACTTGACATGTACGTATAATGTGCTGTTATAGATGACAGTTTTAGTGACGTCACTGATTGTTCATCACGTGCACAGAGTATTTCGAATATCCGAAACAGCTTGTGTTTGTCCACAAACACATTTCTAGTTTTTTTTTCTTTTCCCTTTCAGACTCTTCTCCATAGGGTTTGTACACGTTTTTTCTTCAGCAAGGGCACTTTGGCACTTTCTTAAATTGCATCAACCTCAGACTTGGCACCCACTTAGACCACCATCCACAGATGGTCCTAGAAGAAATTCGTAATCATGACGTCATCAAGTGTCAAGTTACGTAACATTAAAGGTGCATTTTTTGTCCATAGGGTTTGTACACGTTCTTTTCTCCATAGGGTTTGTACACGTTCTTTTCTCCATAGGTTTTGTACACGTTCTTTTCTCCATAGAGTTTGTACACATTCTTTTCTCCATAGAGTTTGTACACGTTCTTTTCTCCTTAGGGTTTGTACACGTTCTTTTCTCCATAGGCATTGTGCACGTTGTTTTCTCCATAGGCTTTGTACCCATGGGGTCGGACAACTCGACCGTTATCCAACTTGACATTTTGACAGCGTGCGCGTGCATGCCTTGCCGCCCTACAGCTGGCCAGGTCCCCGCGCACTCTACGCGGTACAGTCATGATGCCACAGATTTATGCGGCTTACGTAAATGTGACAAACTTGTAGTTGGGTATGTGAGTTGGGATAATCATGATTTATCAGAGATTAACAACTTTAAAGAATTTCTTAAATGTTAATGTGGGATTTTTGGGGATTTGTTCAAGTGCGCCACATTAGGAACACTGGAAAGAATTCCATATAAGCCTCCACCTCTATGGGCCATGACAGGAAAAGTATTTTTAAAGAAAATCTTGATTTTTTTCACTCCTAAATTTCCGTTTCTTCGTCAGATTTACAACTTTTGGTACTTTTCAAGTCATATCTTGGAAAATAACTGGAGTCCGTATATGGAATTCTTTCCAAGACGTCATTAAATTTAATTCCTTTCTCGTCTGCTCAGTACTATTGGTATTTTCACTCCCAACATGAATCATGTTACTGTTAAAGTTGTTTGCTGCCCTCTAGTGTTTCCTTTGACGAAATGCCCAAAAATGTTCGTGACGTGCAACTGCATTGGTCCGGCACTCATGGCCATAGCCAGGACAATACATGTAAGGCCAAAATCACAGATCGACACAAGCAAAATGACACGCAGGCCAAATTTCATGACAGGCCACTCCGTGTTGGAGGTTAGCCATGGCTTTTAGGGGGCTGGATACAAACAGGATTACATGTTTTCTTCAGCTAATAATTATATTTTGGCAGTTTGCTAAAGCTGATCGCAATAGATTTAACAACACCACACACTGATGGCTCAAAAACAATTTTCGCCACAATGACGTACGTACCATTGTACAGTATCACCTGACGGCTATAGTTCTCAAGATTCTCTATCTGTAGGACGTACCAGTCCGATTGGGTTCAAAGCTGGTACGCAAGTATTCCAGGATGTGTTATGAGTACAAAACCACATTATACGTCATGATCACACCATGATGACGCCTTCATGACGTCATCGCATACCATGTGACCAAACATTCAAGTTATAGTATTTATTATATTTCACACCATTTATCTCTGAAAGTGCTAGTTCCATTGGCTTCGAACTTGGATTTGCTTCAAACGTTATCACGTCATGTGCCGTCATTAAAGGAATAATTGTCAGGGCCTATATTGTATGGTATTTGTATAACTAGAGATTCCATTCGCATGTAACTAATGTACGTATCAAATATCTATGAAATTTGAGGTGATGTCGTCATGTCACCAACACACGTCACAGCCGAAACAGCTTGCGTTTGTCCACAAACGCATACCTCTAGTTAGCTGTTTCGGTTACACACCGAAACAGCTCTTGTTTTCGTTAAGATTTTTTTTTTTAGCTGTTTCGGTGTACACACCGAAACAGCTCTTGTTTTTGTTATTAGCTGTTTCGGTGTACACACCGAAACAGCTCTTGTTTTTGTTATTTTTTTTTAGCTGTTCCCAATTTCAATTGGGAACAGCTATTGTTTTCGTTAAAGTTTTTTTTTTTCCTTTTTTTTAGCTGTTCCCAATTTCAATTGGGAACAGCTCTTGTTTTCGTTAAAGTTTTTTTTTTTCCTTTTTTTTTTTCTTCTTTTTCTTTTTCCACTTTTCCCCATAGGTTTTGTACACGTTTTGATTCTACAAGCCACTTTGGCAATAATTATAAATCCGATCAACTTTAAACTCAGCATAGTTATTAACCATCATCTGAGCATGTATCCCGAAACTTTTCGTCATGCTGACGTCATCACGTGATTTATTATAGAATTTTGAATATTTAATTTTTCCCATAGACTTTGTACACAGAATTTTTTTTTTAAATGTCAATTTACAGAGGGCATTTTCGACTCTTTGCCAGTAATTCATTTACACCAATCTTTGTCCAAGCAAAGACCCTAATTCAAACTACATTGTGTAATGATGACGTCATAATGACGTCATCCGGTGTTTATTTATAGGCAATTAAATTGTGACAATTTTAATATTCAAAAATGCATAAGAAATCAACCGTACGCGTCCGCAGCATTCTGTTGCCGGCAAGTGGTAGAGTAGGTTGAGGTCTTTATTTTATTCTGTGTGCGTGAAATCATGTGACTCTTGCTTCCGGTCGAAAAAGGCCAAAACCGGAAGTGGCTTATTATTTGAAAGTGGTAATAGATATGAACTTGCTTTTAACGGTGTTAGTCTCTTGGCTGATAGTATTCTTCAAATCATCTACCGATGACGTCATGCAATCTTCAAGCGCCCTCTAGCGACAGGTTGAAAATTATCAAAAATGTATTTTGAATAGATGTCTTCCATGGCAGTTTTTATATTAGTTTTTACTTTAATTGTCGATTTAAGGGTAGGTCTAAAACATTTCAAAGCTTCGAGGCAATAAGCAAACTCGGACATGGCCTTCGCACGCTTAAAGCTTAAGGTTGACAATAGCTCTGCTCTAAAACATGCACAGGACGTCCACGATGTACATGTACATACACGTGTTTCCTCTACTGCGTGCACTGATGTCTTTGCGTGCGCCCCGTATGCGTTGACACTGTGTAAGTGATGTACTGCCCTCTACTGTTGACAATTTTTTTGTGATACTGTTGACAATTTTTGTTGTGTACGGTCCATAATGGGGATCTACTGCCCTCTATATAGTGCCCAAAAGTATAACTAACATAATGTAGACACGCTACCGCTGTCATTGATTACTGCTCTCTACCACGTGTATTACAATTTACAGGAATATTTCTTTTAAATTGAAAAACTACACGCAAAAGCACTGATAGACTAGGAACTCCCTCCACTATGTTATCGTGTATTTGCAAATGTTATCACAGGTGTTTAAACAAGGTTCCTTTTGTTCTCCCACACCTATTCTTATTTTGCTGAACATTGCCAAGATTAAGTGACTACATGTATAACATAATGAATAAATGATACTTATTTATCGATTGTTCGCAGCTGCATCTCAAAACAAAATTATCCACGTGTACACAGATTGTGATTCCAGTTGAAGTATTGGTATTTATTTTTCATAGTCGAGTCCAGAAATACAATCAATTGTGTTTTGCTAAATGATAAATGACTAAGTTATGATATAAGCCATAGAAATTGTAGTTACACAATTAGAAAAGCATCTTAAAATCAGCATATTTGTCATGTAAATTACAATCATTTTTATTACAGATAGAAACAAGCCCAGACATAGTTTCAACTTTGAGATACTCATATGCATGTACAATGTATTTGTGTAGGGTGCATGCATTGTGCTGCAGTAAAGCTGAAGTCCTCACGTTTCAATTCATGCATATGTAAAAGTTGCATATTACATGTACATAATTAATTGGCAGAGACTACAATAGAAAATTGTACTTGATATGTTTTTGTGTTATTTAAAAACAAATCTTTGTGAAAAATAAAAATAAACATTCAAGTCAATGTTTCCTCTTTAACAAAGTAATTATTTTGTACTGCCTACCATTTTTGTAAGTCACTGTGTATCATGCATAAAGTGAAAAGCCGAGTATTCAATACGATTGTAGAAATAAATCCACAAACTATTTACATGACTTCACATTGTAATTTCATTTTCTGCAATGCCAAGACAGAAGGTTGACTTCACCAGTGTTTATAACAATGGTTTATGGCTAAGCATCAACACAAATTAAAATGAGTATATGTGATTCTAATTTGAATAAAATAACTTCCAAGTACTGTATGCTTGATTCTCTTCCAAATCTTGTCGGGAAAGAAAACATTGCTTGTTTGACACTCAAACTGACACATTTCTGCTTACTAATGCAGGGCTATTATGCAGGCTGGCAAGTGCAATCTGTGATCTTGTACAACCAAAATTCTGCTTTTGAATAAGCATAATAGGTCTCTCTCAAAAATGGCCATCTCTGTTGGAGAACTGCATCTGCGTATTCTATGTACCCAAGCATGCTTTGTACATTGTAGAAAATGTTTCAAACACAGCACGCCCACTTGTTGCTCAAAATGTGTGCAAAATACGACATAACCCATGGTCATGACGGAAAAGTGCCGATGCATGTGGCTGGTCCGTAGGAAATGATGTCATTTGAGACAGAGCTATAAGATAGATCCTGGTCAAATCTTTGAAGTATAACTTGGAATCTATATTCGTTTGACACTTGTGACATTTGTTCCTTAACCTATGTAATGTTGTTTATTAGATAAAATAAACCAAGTTGGTATTAGTTAGTAATCAGTATTGGAACACTAAAACATCTTCATTAGTCTCCAAGCAAACACCAATGTAGAACACAAAGAGCATTGGGCATGGCACTGCTGGTGGATGACTACATGTCATCCACATCACACTTGATGGCAGGTCATATTGCTATTGGAACACTAGAATTTGTTCATTACTCCTCAAGCAAACATCAAATGTAGAACACAAACAGCATTGGGCATGGTGTTGTTTACTCCTAGCGTTGTTGACAGATGATTGGAGGTCATCCACATCGCACCCGATGGCAGGTCATAAGAGCACATCAATGACTGCAATGGGATTTTACACTGAAAAAAACATGAAAGAGAAGATTGCTATGAAAAAGAAATGTTGTGCATTTTATTTGGTGCGGAAGTTGGACGACAGTGTAATTAATCGACCTTACAAACTTGTGTTGGTAAACCAATATTCAGAGCAATATGTTGTAGTCCAGTCCATCACAAATCCCTTCACAAGTTCACTGAAAAGTGTTTGGTAACTGCAGTCTATTCATCACATTGAACTTGCATCGAAGTGATGTAAATTCAAAATTGGGTTTAGCCGTTCACCGACATATTTTTATAAATACATCTAAAAGTGTTTATGAAACTATATTAGTGAGGACAAAAATCCAATTATGTATGGTTACAAATGTTGTCACAAGCCAAGTTAAAAGTCAGGGATGAACAATGATAAGTCACAGGCCACAATGAATTGCTGACAGCCCGCAGATGACAACACCCACCCTCAAGTGTTGGAGGTCTGGCAGGGAGTGTTGCGGTTCACACTCCATCTGGTCCAAAGTCACAGGCCACAATGAATTGCTGACAGCCTGCAGATAATAATAATGATAATAAAACCATTCTTATTAAGCGCATTACACATGGAGTCCCAATGCGCTGTACAAATTAAAAATAGGACAAAATATAGGATTAAAAATAGATGACAACACCCACCCTCGAGTGTTGGAGGCCTGGCAGGGAGAGTTGCGGTTCACACTCCATCTTGTCCAAAGTCACAGGCCACAATGAATTGCTGACAGCCCGCAGATGACAACACCCACCCTCGAGTGTTGGAGGCCTGGCAGGGAGTGTTCTGGTTCACACTCCATCTTGTCCAAAGTCTTAGGCCACAATGAATTGCTGACAGCCTGCAGATGACAACACCCACCCTCAAGTGTTGTGGGAGTGTTGCAGGGCATGTTGCGGTTCACAAGTAACTGAAGTGTATGTTCATCACAACTTGGTGATGAAATGCATCCCGCTGGTGAGGAGACCATAGAGCTGGGTCCTAACTATGTGATAAGACACACAGATGTACAGGAGTAATAGTAACTGATCTAGTTTTCTTCTTTTTGGCTTTTCCGCAAAGTTGCGGAAAAGCCTTTGTTTTTGTTCTCATTTTTTTTTTTTTTTTTTTGGCTTCTTCTTTTTGTCGCCTAAATCCCATAGACTTTGTGCACGTTTTTTCTCATCGCCACTTTTGGCATTAATCTTTGTCATACATCATTCAAAGTTAGCATAAGCATAGTCCCTATAGCAAAGATGTGTCCCGAAGATTGACGTCATGGTGACGTCATCGACTAATTTATTATAGATTTTTGAATATTTAATTTTTCCCATAGACTTTGTACACAGAAATTAAAAAAAAATTGTCTATTTGCAAAGGGCATTTTTGACTCTTTGCCAGTAATTCATTTACACCAGTCTTTGTCTAAGCAAAGACCCTAATTTAAACAACATTGTGTAATGATGACGTCATGATGACGTCATCAGGTGTGTGTTTATAGGCAATTAAATTGTGACACTTTTAATATTAAAAATGCATAAGAAATCAACCGTACGCGTCCGCAGCATTTTGTTGCCGGCAAGTGGTAGAATAGGTTGAGGTCTTTATTTCATTCAGTGTGCGTGAAATCACGTGACCCTTGCTTCCGGTCGAAAAAGGCCAAAACCGGAAGTGGCTTATTATTTAAAAATGGTAATAGATATGAACTTGCTTTTAACGGTGTTAGTCTCTTGGCCGATAGTATTCTTCAAATTATCTACCGATGACGTCATGCAATCTTCGAGCGCCCTCTAGCGACAGGTTGAAAATTAGCACAAATGTATTTTGAATAGATGTCTGTGGCGAAGTTTGTCGAAATCGCCTAAATATTGGTGTATATGATGACCTTGACCCACTTAAGACGTGTGCGAAGTTTTAGGCGAATGACGTCATCAGACCGGAAGTTATAATAAAAAGACCCTTTTTCATTTGAAAATTCCTGAAAAATCAACCATGGCAGTTTTTATATTTGTTTTTACTTTAATTGTCGATTGAAGGGTAGGTCTAAAACATTTCAAAGTTTCGAGGCGATAAGCGAACTCGAACATACCCTGCGCACGCTTAAAACTTCACGTTGACAATACCTCTGCTTCAAAACATGCACAGGACAGGACGTCCACAATGTACATGTACATGCATTGCACGTACGTTGTACATAGGCACATAATCGTATGTCAGTCAGCCTACAGCGCACGTGTTGCTGAGGTCAAATCCTGTCCACATTGACCGTTTTAACTTTGACAGATTTTATGTTCATGCATGCGCATAGACAGGGACGTATTATAGCACTTTTGGCATTAATTTTTGTCAGATATCATTGAAAGTTGGCATAAGCATAGTCCCTATAGCCAAGATATGTCCCGAAGAGTGACGTCATGGTGACGTCATCAAGTGATTTATTATGGATTTATGAATAATTAATTTTTCTCATAGACTTTGTACACAGCTTTCTCCACAAGTCTTTCCCTATACAATTACACTGATATATCTTACTGAGTAGTTCTGAACTTCGGCTGAGAATTACTATGAGAAGGAAAAAGAAATCGTATTTCTTTACGCCTGTCATTTGATTGAAAATAATCCCAAGAGTTAGAATAGCAAGTAATATTTTATAAAAAATTTTCAGTTTAAAGGAAAATCACGCATTTGAAGGTGCAGTTTTTCTGCTGTGGGATTTTTAACCTATTGACTTTGTACACGTTTTCAAGCCACCATTTTCATAACTTGGCGATCTAAAATCGTCATCAAAGTTACAGCCAAAGAAGACCCTCATACAAAAATTATGCCAAGACTATGACGTCACGATGACGTCATCACCTAATGTTTTTATTGATTTTTGAAAATTTACGTACATATTGTGAAGTCATATCTACAGAAATGTAAGTCTGATTGGGTTGAAACTTGGTATGTGGTTATACCAGGATGTGTTATAGATTAAAAATGAGGTGACGTCATGATGACGTCATCCTGAGATTTTATATGAATATTTATTTGTTTGGACCTTTTAGCCATATCTCCCGAACGCAACATGCAAAATGCAAAATTCTTTTTGCATTTGGTCTGTTATGTAATAGCTTTTCGCACAAAACTGGAAAAATGTGTGACGTCATCATGACGTCATCAAAATGCGATTTTTCAAAACTCATATAAGGAAAGGTCCAATTGTCATGAAACTTGGTGGGTAGGTAGTTAATCATACTGGTATGCAAAGTTCGAAGTGACGTCAGGATGACGTCATCAAAAACTTTAAAAAATATTTGTGGATTTTCAAAGTGCGTTTTGGACTCTTTTGCCAGTAATTTATATACACCACTCTTTGTCCAAGCAAAGACCTTGTACACACGCACATACATCATATTGCCGAGGTCAAATCCTGTCCACAGTGACCATTTTAGCCGATTTTCGGCTAACTTTGACAGATTTTATGTTCATGCATATTCAGGGATATTATTGATTAAAAAAAATCATAATGCGGAAAAGCCCTATGTTCTGTTGCAAACAGACATAGACCTCTAGTTCTTTTTCCACTTTTCCCAATAGGTTTTGTACACGTTTTTATTCTACAAGTCACTTTGGCAATTATTTTAAATCCGATCAACTTTAAACTCAGCATAGTTATTAACCATCATCTGACGATGTGTGCCGAAACATTTCGTCATGCTGACGTCATCACGTAATTTATTATAGAATTTTGAATATTAAATTTTTCCATAGACTTTGTACACAGAATTTTTTTTTTAAATGTCAATTTTCAGAGGGCATTTTCGACTCTTTGCCAGTAATTCATTTACACCAATCTTTGTCCAAGCAAAGACCCTCATTCAAACAACATTGTGTAATGATGACGTCATGATGACGTCATCCGGTGTTTATTTATAGGCCATTAAATTGTGACACTTTTAATATTTAAAAATGCATAAGAAATCAACCGTACGCGTCCGCAGCATTCTGTTGCCGGCAAGTGGTAGAGTAGGTTGAGGTCTTTATTTCATTCAGTGTGCGTGAAATCACGTGACCCTTGCTTCCGGTCGAAAAAGGCCCAAACCGGAAGTGGCTTATTATTTGAAAGTGGTAATAGATATGAACTTGCTTTCAACGGTGTTAGTCTCTTGGCTGATAGTATTCTTCAAATCATCTACCGATGACGTCATGCAATCTTCGAGCGCCCTCTAGCGACAGGTTGAAAATTTTCAAAAATGTATTTTGAATAGATGTCTGTGGCGAAGTATGTCGGAATCGCCTAAATATTGGTGTACATGATGACCTTGACCCACTTAAGACGTGTGCGAAGTTTAAGGTGTATGACGTCATCAGACCGGAAGTTATAATGAAAAGACCCCTTTTCCTTAGAAAATTCCTGAAAAATCAACCATGCCAGTTTTTATATTAGTTTTTACTTTAATTGTCTATTGAAGGGTAGGTCTAAAACATTTGAAAGCTCTGAGGCAATAAGCAAACTCGGACATGCCCTGCGCACGCTTAAAACATCAGGTTGACAATACCTCTGCTTTGAAACATGCACAGGACGTCCACAATGTACAGTACATGTACATGTACATGCACGTACGTTATACATATCGTATGTCAGTCAGCCCGCGCACAGCGCACGTGTTGCTGAGGTCAAATCCTGTCCACAGTGACCGTTTTAGCCGATTTCCGGCTTAGTTTGACAGATTTTATGTTCATGCATAGTCTGGGACGTATTATTGATAAAAACAAATCATAATGCGGAAAAGCCCTATCTTCTGTTGCAAACAGACATAGATCTCTACTTATTTTATATGTCTATGGGTCCAACAGATAATCAATATTGGGAACAGCTCTGTGGTTGTTCACAACCACAATTTCTAGTTTCTCTTTTTTTTTTTCTTCCACTTTTTTTTCCATAGGATAACACGTGTTTTCGTTCTACAACGCACTTTTGGACTTTTTTCAAATCCGATCGACTTCAAACCTGGCACACACTTAGACCACCATCTGAAGATGTGCGCCGAAACTTTTCGTCATGCTGACGTCATCACGTGATTTATTATAGATTTTTGAATATTTAATTGTTCCCATAGACTTTGTACACAGAAATTTAAAAAAAAATGTCAATTTTCAGAGGGCATTTTCGACACTTTGCCAGTAATTCATTTACACCAATCTTTGTGCAAGTAATGACCCTAATTCAAACAACATTGTGTAACGATGACGTCATGATGACGTCATCCGTTGTTTATTTATGGGCAATTAAATTGTGACACTTTTAATATTTAAAAATGCATAAGAAATCAACCGTACGCGTCCGCAGCATTCTGTTGCCGGCAAGTGGTAGAGTAGGTTGAGGTCTTTATTTCATTTAGTGTGCGTAAAATCACGTGACCCTTTCTTCCGGTCGAAAAAGGCCCAAACCGGAAGTGGCTTATTATTTAAAAGTGGTAATAGATATGATCTTGCTTTCAACGGTGTTAGTCTCTTGGCTGATAGTATTCTTCAAATCATCTACCGATGACGTCATGCAATCTTCGAGCGCCCTCTAGCGACAGGTTGAATATTTTCAAAAATGTATTTTGAATAGATGTCTGTGGCGAAGTTTGTCGGAATCGCCTAAATATTGGTGTATATGATGACCTTGACCCACTTAAGACGTGTGCAAAGTTTAAGGTGTATGACGTCAACAGACCGGAAGTTATAATGAAAAGACCCTTTTTCCTTAAAAAATTCCTGAAAAATCAACCATGGCAGTTTTTATATTAGTTTTTACTTTAATTGTCTATTTAAAGGTAGGTCTAAAATATTTCAAAGCTTCAAGGCAATAAGCAAACTCGGACATGCCCTGCGCACGCTTAAAACTTCAGGTTGACAATAACTCTGCTTTAAAACATGCACAGTCCACAATGTACATGTACATGCACGTACGTTGTACATATCGTATGTCAGTCAGCCCGCGCGCAGCGCACGTGTTGCTGAGGTCTATCCTGTCCCAGTGACCGTTTTAGCCGATTT